AGTAATCCCCGACGGAACGGCAAGCCCCAGTGTTCATTAGATAAATCACGTAATTTCGCGACGATGGCGCCCCGCGGACCCATCACCACACCGCTCACCCAGTTACTGGGGATCTCCCACCCCATAATCCTCGCCGGCATGGCGCGGGTCTCAGGCGGCCAGCTCGCCGCAGCGGTGTCCAACGCCGGCGGCCTGGGCGTGATCGGAGGCTTCATGTACACCCCAGCCCAGCTGCGGGCCATCATCGCCGAGCTGAAGGCGAACCTGAAATCCCCTGACCTCCCCTTCGGCGTGGACCTGGCGCTGCCCCAAGTAGGCGGCAGCGCCCGCAAGACCAACTACGACTACACGAAGGGGAAGCTAGACGAGCTAATTGACATCACCATCGAGAGCGGTGCCAAGATCTTCATCAGCGCCATCGGCACGCCGCCCAAGGCCGTCATCGACCGCCTCCACGCCGCCGGCATCCTCGTCATGAACATGGTCGGGCACCCGAAACACGCCGTCAAGGCCCTGGACCTCGGCGTCGATCTGGTCTGTGCCCAAGGCAGCGAGGGCGGCGGCCACACCGGCGACATCGCCACGTCGGTCCTCATCCCCGCCGTCGTGGACGTCGCTCGCCGATATAAGCCCCCGATGCTGAAGGGGTCGACGGCGCTCGTAGTAGCAGCCGGCGGCATCAGCAACGGGCGCGGCCTCGCCGCCAGCCTAATGCAGGGCGCCACGGGCGTGTGGGTAGGAACGCGCTTCATTGCGTCGGAAGAGGCAAACTGCGCCGAGGCTCACAAGCTCAGCGTCGTGGATTGCGACTTCTCGGGGACGGACCTCACGCTCGTGGTGTCCGGCCGGCCGATACGCATGCGCACGAATGAGTATATCGCCAATTGGCACACACAGCCAGATAAAATAAAAGAGCTGTTGGCCAAAGGTATCGTGCCCATGCATTACGACCTCGAGCAGGGCAACGAGATTGATTTCCCGCATCTCATGGGCCAGGTTGCTGCCTTGATTGACAAGGTACAGCCAGCAAAGGATATCGTCGATGAGATGGTTGCCGAGGCCGCGGAGATGCTGAAGCTGGGCAGCACGTACATCACCTCGACCAGCAAGCTCTGACCCAAGAGGGCCGAATAAGAAGAGTAGCCGTGCGTTCACGAACTGTGCATACAAGGAAACAGAACCACGAATGTGTAAAACTGACTCTATCCTCGGAGACGACTGAGTATAATTTGGGACCATAGGTATATGTTGATTCGTCACGACCAAACTCGAATTAGGTCGTGACGAATGCAACCTCAATGATATATTGTATGAGTAATAATCACATCTTAGCGGGATTATATAAACATCAATTCAACATTGCTCGAGCACATACGAACATATACACCAAAGAAGCTGGTCTCCACGCCTTTTCGCCGCCAATCCCACCGACTTGGCGGACTTAACCTCGCCTCCCAGGTCATATAGGACTTATACCATAATTCCCTTCCGGAGTCTTCCGCGCGTGACACCGTTGTAGAGTGGCCGGCCGCTTCATCCGTGTCAATTTTCTATCGAGAGAGCTTTGGCCGGTTTCCAACAAGGGACGTAAGTTATGACCGATTAAAGGCCAAAGATATTATTCAAGTTTTGCCCACGCCAAGTGCTGAAAACAAGGGACAGCCGAAACCGCTAAGTCGAGAAGCATCCAGCCTCCTGAGTCCTTGAACCATCACCGGCATCCTCTGGTGAATCTGATGGGCTGGCCCATTAAACAAGTTTAATAACGCCTTGACCGACCCCTCCCCAAAAGATTTGTCGTGGGTTGGCTTTGTTCTTCACAACAAACCTCCACCACGGATGCCCACGGCCTCCAAAATCACTAGCTCATGGGCTGCTATTCTACCCGGCCGACCCGTGTAAAGAACGAGGATCACTATCGTATTCCAGAGGACGCATCAGCTCGCTTGTAGCTTCTGTATCCAGATCCCGTTAGTAATGCCCATGTCAGATCCATGGCAAGGTGAATGCGAAGGGATAACTGGAGTATCAAAACCAGGGCAAGCCTCAAGGGACGTGGGGTAAAGGAGATATATTGCATAGCATGGAATTCATAGAGCGTTGGGCTACACGCATAAATTTCATGAAGAAAGGTGTGATAGACAGAGGAAGTACTTGTGTCTGAAGACATCAGTATTCTAGAAATAAGGGGCATCAAATCCATGACAAATGCCGAGACAGAAACGAAACCGAGCAGAAATGATCGTTCGCAAGACTCACAGGCATGTTCTTATAAGAATGTTCAGTCAGCGCGGCGTTATTTGAGACTGGTGATACGGTACCTGGTCGTTGACTTCTTCATCATCAAGAGTAAAGATAACGAGGGAGCGCTTGCGGCAAGAAAACACCTCGGTTCATGAGACTGTTGTCCAATACCGCTCAATCCCAGACAACTTTCCATCAGGGCTAGCCCTATACATATTCCTTCGAATTCAGCCGTCGACAGCGATATGCCATTCGAGAGTCGACGAGAGCTCCTAGCCGACTGTCGGGTGCACCCCTGAGATTCGCTAAGCACATGACAAAAACTTGCAAGAGTACTCGGGCTCCGGGGGGTTGTGTGAGCTTATGTAAAACCCGCTCTCTTTGCTGCGACATATCCAACGCGTCGTGAGTTTGTGACTTACTACAGCGAGGAAATGTGAGGTGTCGGTTGGGTCCGTTTACATATTCTGGCTGCCCTGCCACTCGCAAGCAGTCACAGGACGCACAACCTATTCCCGAAGCTGCCAAGAAGCTGCAAATATTGAGACAAGTACTTGCTGCACCACCATCGCCGTTCGCTTATTAGAGGGGTCGCTGAGATCGCTTCGCTGCCTTATCGTATTATCCTAGATGAAGGCAGAAGTGATGGGTATATAGCACGGCAGAGATGGCTCCGGGTTGCCCTACATGCCTGTTTGGATGTCTTGCACGGCGATAGCATCTTCTGCGGCGACGACATCTCTGTGATTAGCGGTCGCTTGTAGGCGTACGCAGATCGCAGCAGTAGCGAGCTGGCCTCAGTGTGACATAGACCTTATTGTCAGTTCTGGTGAGAAATTTGGAAGAACCTAGCTCTATAAGAGCCCAGTCCTTGTTACTGAGGCCATTTGCCCATGTCGGATATCTCCGTGGAGTCCCGGAGCTGCACATCGGTCGTTTCGATCGATCAAACGTATGAATCGACTAACAATCCGGACTAATTTTTGGAACGGGGACGTCTGACGGCTCCGTCGTCCAACAATCCGCTTCGTAAGGAAACCACAATTTTTCTGTTTGATAAAGGCCTGGTTAGCCAACTGGAAAGCAATATAATAAACATGAGTATGGCCGTCGGACTGATCGGTCGGCTAGGAATCTAGCCCGCCAGCCAGCTCAACAATGAGCCTCTTTTAGACTATCGCGGAGGAGTTTGTTAAGCTCATTCTTGAGGTGTTCGTTTCCTTCACGCAGTCGGCTGAATTCCTCATTCTTCTTCCTCGGTTTGTCATGAATGCCTCGAGGAGATCGAGAACCAGTGGAACGATTCCTGGAGGGAGAATTGGACAAGATTCTTGGCTGTTTAGCCATACGGGCAGCCCGGGTGACTTCCAAGTCGTCAGTAGAATCGACAACCATTTTGCGGTTTCGAAAGAAGCTGGTGATGGCCGGGGTGTCGGCGGACTTAGGGATTTCCGGAGTTGGTCGAGCCGATGGGACAGTTTTCCGGCGAGCGAGTTTCCGAGGGGTGACAGTGATGGGCTCCGGGGCTGCGGGTCAAGTTTTCGCGGACATCTTCGAGGGTAGAACGAAGCTAAAGCCTTGGTTGTACGAGTCAACCATTTAGGTAATCCGACGAGTGTATAAGGGAAGCTCGTGACCAAAAGTCAAGTCCGGTTTAGTCCTCTCTGGGCAATAAATGATGGTCGCCTCAGGGTTGAGGACCGGGATTATTTTCGTACCAAGAAAACGAAGAATAAGAACACGCCAATAGGAAACAGAATAGAAGAAGCTAGGGAGGATTTCGGAGCCGAAACTGACCGGATCCTTGGAGAATTTAGGGGCATTGCTGTCACAGTTCATACCGCTGATGTCTCCAGAAACGACTGTTTATGATTTCACGCAACACCAAGAGAGAAGTTCTGTTCGTAGCTATCGGGCCCATCTAGCTTGGCCCTTTATATAGGCGGTCCGCGACAATCGCCCCTTCTATTCCTATGAAACGAACTTACATGATTAAAGAAAGTGGCATCGTAACAGCATGTTTTCTCACCTTGTCCTTCCTTTTCCCCGTCGTTCCGAATCGTCCTTCCTTACAATCCTGGCAGGTAAGCTGTAAAACCTACTCGTTCCTGCTTGGGTAAACTATCGTAGGTATCACCGTCTTTCTTTTGTCTGGTACGTATTTTGTGTTATCCCGTTTCAGGGACTCGCGATCTTGATCTTCTGGACACACCACCCGGGAAACGACCCCTTGAGGACAGTCGAACTTACAGGAGCGTTTGCAGATTTGAAGATTCTGAAGATGTTCCTCGTACCTGTCATCTAGCAGCATTGCACATAGATGTTAGATATTACAATGCGTCGATCAGAACCACGTTCAACTGTTTCCCACATAGCGATACGAGCCGAATTATACGAAGCCTCTTGGAAAGTTACCCAGTGATCTCCAATCTCCGTTTGAGGCTTACAAACGCTTTCCTCCTATAAGTCAACATAAGGAGCCGCAGCTAATCCAAAACTTTCAACGAACAAATAGTACTCCCGACTTCACCATGGAAATATTTCGCGATGCCGTCGCCCAAGTCTTAAAACCATTTATCCCAGAGTCCTCCATTATGGATATGCGCTGTCTTCTAAAGCACCTGCTCGCCTCTCCCGACGACCTAGGTATACTACACATAGAGAATGCCGACACTCTCCCCACTTATTAGTGTGCACCTAACAACCGAAACCTACGATAGCATGCTCATTCAGCGCATCCAACACCTCAACCAGCAGCACTGATAGCTCAGTGGTAGAGCAATCGGCTGCAGCTTTTCCAAAGCCTCCGATAGTAAGTACCTACCCGAGCACAAGTTATACTCACTCAGTATATCCATATACCACCGTCAAATTAAGACTAACAACTGTTCCAGGGTCCTCGGTTCAAATCCGGGTCAGTGCTTTTTTCATTTTTCTCCTCATTTACAACTATGTACATATACCGTAAGTTTTGGCGGCTTAACGCTGAAGCCAATATTGAATTACTTCATCAAAATACTGCTGCGAGCTCTCCATTTCTATGTGTAGCCAAAGCCCAGAAGGCGGCCAGTCGTTCTGAATCTGATCAATGGAGATCCGATCGACAGCGGATGTAAATCATTGGCTTGGCCGACCAATGTGCAAACCCGGTGCGCCTCTTCATGCACCAGCTACCGGTCTGAACGGGACCACTGGTGAGCGTACTGATGGACCAGATGGCTCCTCCGATTCTCTCGCCAGAGTATAACCCGCTTCAACCACCTCATTCGCATTAACGGAAACCGAGAAACCTTTCCAGTCCCTAGTATTTATGTAATACTGATAGTCTATAGAATCCTGTGATGATACCATCGTCATCCCAGATAGCCGAGCCACATGTGCCGTCGTGAGGGCAAATCCGGTCATTGTTCCCTTCGGTTTGACCCATGTAAGACCAGTTATAAACGACGTAGCGCAGTTTGTTTTCAGTGGGGTGTGTCGAAGCCTCAAACTTCACGAATTTGCTGAGAATGCTTGCTTCTATGTTGCCAGCATAGGGGCTATTTAGGAAACAAGTGCTAAATGAACATATGTCCTTTGAAGTGGCCAAACGGGAGAAGGCTGGAGACTCGCCACTATTATTTTCGAAAGTTTGGTTCACGAATGTAATGTCGTCCTTCAACTTCACTAAGCCGATGTCGGTAAAGGGTATTTCTACAACGGCTTTGCCGATAGATCTGCCTGGCTGGTCTCCTTGCCATATGTTTCCATCGCCGCTAATCCCATGAGAAGCTCCAGTCATAAAACGGTCACCAGAGCGATTCTGGACAAGAATTCCAGATGTAGTTGGGAAGGTGGCGGGATGTCCATGTTCCTTCAGGAACTTACTGGATATTAGCACCCCGGGCCTTAGAATGTCATATGCGGTGTTGTCTATAATGCTGCTCGTTAGCTGTGGTTCAATTCGCTGCTTTACCGGTAAATCTGCCCTCAGTGGCCGATGAAGCTCACGGTTGGTAAGGTATCCTACCGTGCAACGTGCAATCTTGCCAGGAAGCTTACTCTATAGCGACGAAATATCAACATGGTCCTCGAGGACTATGTAGATAGTACGCTCAGCGGTGAACATAAGCTCAACGATGCGAATTTTCGGCATGTTCTTCTCGAACACGCTATGTACTTCGGCAGCAAGGCGGCGAAGAAGCTCATCCGAGAATTTCTCGATATCGTATCCCTCCTGACGAATGGAATTTGTGGGGTTACATAGAATTTGTTTTGGAAATATGAGGGCTCTGCCTCCGCCGCCGTGTCTGTCTATTGTGAATGGCACGCGACCAACCGTGAGCGGCCATGGCGATTTCGGTAATTCTTCCACTTGGAAGATGAGGTGTGAGCGCCAGCGGGCCTCTGTGGCATTAGTAGTCTTTGGGAAGATCTGGTAAAGTAAGTCACTGGCTTCGCCTTCGTAGATGTCAATGCTCGGATCCCGTAGGTTAAAAGGAGAACATGTCGCTCGTGCCAGGTTTCCTTCGTATCGCCCTGTGCCTCGGCCTGTTTTTCTGGCAATGGGTGGGAGTGTGAACGATCACGCGCGATAGCTGCGACATTATTGGAGAAAAGTTGTCTTGGAGCAAAGAACGGCTCCAAATTAATCTGTCCCTGGTGTGTTCTGGGCCCTTTGTTTGACCTGGTAACAATTAGTGCACCTTTGGATGAAGATTGTTCTGCAGAAGGGGTGATTCCGCGCTTGTTGGATGGAGTTGATGGCGAGGTTTCTCTTGGAGATACGGAAAACTTCACAGTGGCCGGGCTGGACATCGTGGTCCGTTGACGTTTATATCGATCGAGGATGGGTATCTAGGTACTATTTAGGACTCGGGATTTTACGGAATATCTAGAAACTGATACAAGATTTATTACTTCGATGAATTTTGAGAATCTGCTGCCTTCGGATAGATGGGGAGAAAACGAAGAACCATGCTAGTTGTAATTGTTATGGTCTCGGTACAGGGTCTACCTCCGGTAGGTATCGCGTTACAGGCAGAGTAGCAGGCTAAGGCTCAAGGGATTGTCAAGAGGAACTTTGGGTTCCCAAAACCCTATCTAGACCGGAATATTGCCTCCGTCCTTGCACGCGGCTATATACGTCATTTCCTGCGTACGGAATAACGTTCAGTTTCCTGTATTCGTCGGCCAATTCTAGTTCCCTTTATAATACGCACACACGAGTTCGAACTCCGTGGCGCTTGGTGCAAACTGCCTCGTTCAAGTATTAGGTGTTCGATAGGTGTTCGAGATAGAGGCTGTGTATAGCGGGACGAAGGAGGCGTTTTCGACGAAAGTCTATTCAAACCTTTCATCGCCATCCAATTTTCGTCGCCTCCCTACCCTCAGGGGTTGAAACAATTCGTGAATTCATGAACCCGAGATCGTTCTGTAAGGGCCTTTTCCGTGCCTCTTAAATCACGGATGCTACTCCGACAAAAATGCTCAGCGTTCCAACATATTCTACACCGCACCGACGGCACCGAAGTGCATATATGCGCAAGGTTTCTGGTTCTGTATGGATGTTGCCACTGTCTACTGAAACTGGGTAGGCATTTTCCTCATGGCATGATTCGGCCAAGTTAAGCGCAGCGTTGTGCCCTGATTGCCTAATAGTAACTGAGGATAGGTTCCGCATCAAACTGTGAATATCTTTAGTCCTGCGAGACTCTGATATAAGGCAAAGGAACTGATACAGAATGTCTTATATCTAGGAGCGTTGGGAAAGTCATGATCCTGTTGTCAAACATACTGTAATTGCCGCGAAGCAATGATGAGAAAAGGGTGTTGTTCGGTGGCGCTATCTACACAGTGAGATGCTTCAGCGGTAACATCAATCCTTGGTTGGTAACAAGTCCCCCGTGTTGCCTACTTTTACCCGGGGACGCGGGGGTCTTGGGTGGCTGCTGGGCTTTCCTGCAGGTCGGTGAAAGAGCGCCATGCGAGGATGTGATTATTTAAGGCTTGCCGCCTGCATTGAGGGCATGATTTTGGAATGGGGAAGCGGGAAGCTGTATGTTGGTCATGATGGACGCCCTTATCATAGGGACGAGAACCAGACCTAGAGGACAGACAACAGTCTATCTGACGAGGAGGACCCCAGTGCGATGTTGACCTGGGTTTTTCTCAGGACTTTCTGAAGAGTATGGTCTTAGTTTCGTCATGCCCTTTCGAGATTGGATCGATCCTCTGTACTATGTAAGACCCAAACGGCGGTGCAGTTCTAGATTTGTTTGACAGGTTGTGAATCTGCTGGATGATTCACATCCCTGTTGGCACACACATCTCGAGAATCGGTATTACACCAAATTGCTAATCTGAATCGACGCGAAACATTCACGAGGCCATGGGCATTGACCATGCATGTCAGAGCGCTCGGATAGTAGAAGAATAGATCCAGAATCGGCGATTAAGGACACGTACACGTGACCATCATGTGTCAAATAGGGTGAATGAGTTTGGAAAGGATAAGGTTGGCGAAGACCATGGACGGTACCGATATTGTATAACTACCTAGGTGGTCGCTATGGGCGATCGCTCTCGCAGCTGACCAATACTCGGGGTGTTACTAATCGTGGGTACGTCTTGAGTCCTGCATCGAAGCCACGCATGAGAAGAAACGTTTTCGGTAGCACTTATAAGGGTACCAAGTGCAGCATCGTCGTCACCCGGCCTCTACTTACTATACAGACCACCGACGAGCCTCGGTAAACCTAAAACCCTGCCCAAGGCCCCAAGCTATGTCCACCACGGAGTCAAAGACAGGTATAATCGCCGTGACTACGAGATTGCCTATCCACCCTGTAGTCCTATCACCGGCAGTAAGAAGCCACAATCCTTTGACACCGGGCGGTCCGGGCCCGACGGCTTCTCGATGCGAATGCATGTTTGATCCTTCGGCCTAGATCAGGGGTAAAGGTGCACAAGCTGAGCCTTGGCTCGGCCGAGGGTTTTTGCTTTTTGGTGCCTTCGGCGACAATATGCTTCGTCCAAACTTGTATCATGCCGTAAGACCATATACATAGCATACCTCAGGCATACCCGGAAGGCAGCGAGGGTGAATTCGGGAAGCCATCTTACAAATCTCCTTCGTTTTATTCTAAAAAAGTCATTTTATTCCTCTCTGCTGTAATATGACTGTAAAGCCACGATGTCATAACTTAATAAACGTCACGTAGATATTATGACCGAAGGGTTGTGTATCGTATACGAGAAAGCTGACTACATCGGACCAAAACGAAAAAATAAAAAGTCACTTGTAAGAACAAAAGACGTCACACCCAAGGCCGACGGCAACAACAACCAAACCAGGCGAAAAGAGATCATGTCAAAAGCATCGGCATTGTACATAGGTTTCTTTTCCCGCTCTCCTGCTCATCCCCGCCACCCCTGGACCCTATACTTCTGTCACCTCCTGCCCATCACCGTCATCCTATGCCATCCATCTCGCTCGTGCATTGCCGCCTGCACGACCGGCCATGTAATATGTAAAGCCGACGAATGAGCACCCGGAGCACTCACCCCAAGCTTTCCAGAAAATCTCACCTCCATCCCCTACAGCCAATCCCGCAACAAGCCGTGGGAGTGGGTAGATTTCATTCTGCATAGGGCAGGCAACAGGGGTTAATATGCCGGAGGAAAACAAAAAGGGCAGACGGTCGCTCGCCCACGTCAGACAGCGATGGACACACCCATAATATATAATTTTCAGAAAAAAACAAAAAAAAACAAAGGGAAAGTCAATTAGTTAACCCCTCAAACGCTGCAGCCATGATGCCACGCTTTACAGCATTGGCTGGAAATACAACTCCTTCCACCCCCAATCCTGCGTGCCGTCTTACAGTAATAACTTAATCCGCCACCGCCCCTGATTACGCTTCCGCCGGGATATACTTGATT